CCCTTTAGGTTAGTTTTGTGAGTGCAACTGGAGGAAGACACAATTTATTAGACATTGGAAGTCCTATTCCATGCAACCATAAAACTCAGTCTCAAATTATAGATCTCCATAAAACCACTCATTTTAGGAATACATCGCCATATATAATTCATGTAAGAATTTAAAACCATCTAAAGACTAAAAGAACATTAACTTCAAATATGTGTACCATCGGCCCTTTCAAAATTAACAGAGATGTCATCATAGTTTCCGTAGGATGGTTGCATAAAATACTCCAAGAAAATAACAAACATTGGGAATTGGGATTCTATTCTTTATTATAGATGAACAGTCAATTCATTTTTCTAATGCTAAAATCTAGACGAAAACATGAACATAGAGGGGTTCCATGAATTAGATGAACTATACTAATCTCTTGCAATACTTTTCTTTTTTAAAACTGAGCAAGCCTCCTACATTTGACTAAAATAATTTTCAAAACCAGCCTAAAAATAGCAATATAGTCTCCATTGTTTAATTATATAATATATATAACGTAATACTCCTCTAGGGTTTAAAGCACAAAGCACAAAAAAACAAGGTTGGTTTTTTTAAGCACACAGTAGAAAAATGCAAATAAATGTTTCACATGAAAAAGTATAGTATTATGAATAATTAAGAAAATGAAAATTTAAGAAAATTACAGCTTTTACTAGAGATTGTGGGGAGAAATCAATATTTTTTAGAGTATTTATTAGTTCCTTTAAAAGAAATTAGAATTTTGAAATAAAACAGAATAGGGCTTGAGGCACCCAAGTGAGCCTCAGAGCAAGGTGTTCTGTGTTCTTGCATCTTTCCTAGAAAGTGCCCCTTCTAAAACACTGAAAATATAGACCAATGGAAGCTAATAGTTGACTGCAGCGTTCAAAATAATTCACGTGTTTTCTAACATTACACATTGAATACCTCTTGAATGCGGTCCAAAGCTCTGATATTATCCAAGGTATCCAAAGATGGCGAAAGTCCTCCATGCAAACAAAAAACCTACACTAGGATAAATTATAATACTGTTAGAAGCCATCCAATAATCCAAGTGGGGAATTTGTGACATGAGGAACACAAACCTGACTCTCAATTAGAGCTGTAAGAGGTAAATAATCAAAGAGGTCGGTAAAGTGCTTCCAGACATTTGCATTTCCATATTTTCTCAAACATTCATCATAGAATCCATAACTGAAAACAAACAAAATTGAATAAATAAAAACAGATAAAGATGACGGGAGTAACAAAAAATTGTTCATATGCTTGCCACACCTGACAACTAGTACAATATACATATATAGAATATAAGTACAACAATTTTCCACATTTTCAAAGAAGTGCATGATCATACGTTTTTCTTTTCATGTGCGCATGAGAAGCCAATAGAGAAAGATGTAAAACACAATCCTATAGTTTTCAGGGGGGATTGCCAATGCTAAAAATTGGGGAAAAAACATTCACTCAGTTACACGACCAAAAGATTTTTGCAGATTTCCTAAGACTAACACTGCTCCAAACAGGAAGATATGCTAGAAACCGTAGCATACCACCATTTTTCCTTTTTCAACAAATCAATTTGAGTGACATCGACTAATGACAATCCTCTAACCTTACAATATTTGGAAAACTCGTAGGATTTTAGTCGTAGGGTCACTTTTGAACCTTAGCATCAAATTTGAATACCATCCAATATTAATATTAATATCCTAATTTGAATACCACCAGGGGGCCTTTTTCTACTAAATCTCTTGTAAAGACCTCTCCCAACCGAACATAGTCCCTCCTCTCTGATTTATGAAGCTATCTGGAAGGACCCTTATCCAAGAAAGGTGAAATTCTTTATCTGGGAGCTAAGGCACGAAGCCATCAACACAAATGAAAAGCTCCATCAGAGGTCTCCATATTTGTCTATCTCCCCACAATGGTGTACGGTTTGCCAGGCCAATTTGGAAACACAACAGCATCTCTTTGTCTCCTGTGACCATGCTACTCATTTTTGGTGTATGATTCTTTGGACTTTTGGTTGGTCAACTACCCTCCCAGTCGATCCACCTCTCTTTCTGGAAGTTTCTCTTATGGGCCATCCCTTCAAAAAGGGAAAGAAACTTCTATGGATGAATTTTATTAAAGCTTTTTTATGGGTCACTTGGAGAGAGGAATCATGTATCTTCAACGAAAAAGAACTTTCTTTTGATTGGTTTTTTTTAAGCTATAGTCTATTTGGTAGTTTCTTGGAGTACAGGACCCCCCCTATTTCACAACTATAGCTTTTCTTCTCTTTTTTTCAGCTTCCAGCTTGATGTAATCTATTGAATTGGGCCCACTTTTGTAATTTCATAACATCAACGAAATTGTTTCTTAAACTAAAAAATAATTTGAATACCACAAAATTTTAATATCATACACCATACACCAAATTTGAATTCCTTTGTTCTGGTTCTCAGTCCTTAGAACTCCATGTCTTTGCAAGTGTAAACAGAACTGCACTTGAGAAATTACAAATAACCTCAGGAACAGATTGTATTTGGAAATTACTGTGACGTGAATAATCAAACTTTTTCAGTGGGAAAATGCTCGAATCATACTGAGGAAGAACAGCACAAGTGTTTTAAAAGGCGCGCCTGGGCAATATGCCCACCTATTGCGCCTTACCTTTTCAAGGCGAGGCGATCTGAATGAGGTGCGCGTAAAGCGCGCGCCTCATCGGGCTTCATGGGCTTTTATTTAAAAAAAAAAAATCGTACAGACCCTAAACGCAGAAACCCTTGCATTTAGGGTCTGTTTAATTAAATGGAATGATAACCGCCGCACGCCTTTTCAGATTTCCAATCTTAATTTGATTTTTTTTTTAAATAGAAAGAATCTCTTTTTTAAATGGAAAGAATCTCAACAGACGATACATATAGTCTTCTTCATTTCTTTCCCATGCACGTAAAAAACTCAACAGTCACTTAGTTCTTCTTCTCCCTCTATTTTGATTTTCGATTTTCACTAAATCTCTCTCTCTCTCTCTATTTCGATTTCGACTCTCTCTGTATCTCCTGTGGCCGGCCGCCGGTGGTCGTGTGTGAGTGGTGCTGGTGACTCCGTGACTGAGCAACTCTCCCTCTTCATTTGTAAGCTCTCTCCCTCTGTTTCTTTTCTTTTCTCTATCTTTATTTCTAATTTTTTAATTCTCCAATCCAACAGAAAGTCCATATCTTTCCCTCTTTTTCTATTCTAATCCAAAACAGCAAGCTCCACAACAAAGTTATAGTATTCAATTTCTATTTCTCCGCCCCAACAAAGTTACAGACAGTAAGCTCTTTCTCTATCCCTTCTTCACTTTCTATTTCTCCAAGCCAACACTATTTTCTTCAATTTCTCCAATTTAAAACAGTAAGCTCCGTCCCTCTAATATTCTGTTTTTTTTTAAATGATTACAATTTTACATAGATGTCTAATGAAGGCTCAAGAAAAGATCCGGCATGGAAATATGCTACTTTGGCAAATCCTCAAGATTTGACTACTTTTATATGTAGTTTTTGTTCAAAAGTCACAAAAGGAGGAGTTTATAGGGTGAAACAACACCTTGTTGGTGGTTGTAGAAATATAACCGCATGCAAGAAATGTCCGGATCATGTGAAGGAAGAAATTAAGGAACACATGTCCAAGAAGAAGGAGATCAAAGAACAAAAAAATCTTATACCTGATATTGATGACCAGGATTTCGGTATGGATGATGAAGATGAGGATGATTTGATCATAACTAGTTCGAGTAAGAGACCTTCTAGTCAAAGGCCAAGTTTAGACCCTAAGAAGCCAAGACAGAAGGGTCCGATTGATGCATTTTTTACTCCTAATCTAGAACTATCTAGAGTCAGTAGTTCTGAATCGAAAGAATGAGAAAGGCAAACAAATGAAACTCAATGAAGCTTACAAAAAGGAAATGAGGGAGCGCACAATTCAAAGAATTGCGCGATGGTTTTATGATTCTGGAATTCCTTTGAATGCTATCAATTCTGAAAGCTTTGCTCCTATGGTTAAAGCAATAGGACAATTCGGTCCTGGACTAAAAATATCATCTTATTATGAGCTTAGAGTGCTGTTGTTGAAAAAAGAGTTAGAAGCAGCACATGAATTGATGAAGAGTCACAAGGAAGAGTGGGCCAAGGTTGGATGTAATATCATGGCCGATGGATGGACCGAAAGGAGAGAGAGGACATTAATTAACTTTTTAGTTAATAGTCCTAAAGGCACAATGTTTATTGAGTCCATTGATGCTTCATCTTATGTAAAGAACGGGAAGAAAATGTTTGAGTTACTTGATTTTGTCGAGCGCATTGGAGAAGCCAATGTCGCACACGTCGTTACTGATAGTGCTTCAGCAAATGTAATGGCGGGTAAGAAATCAAATTCATTACTTCTCTTCAAATTATTCTTATGTTAGTTAAGCATTTCAAGTAGGCTAATATGTTATCTTTTTATTTTATTTTGTTACTAGGGAGATTATTAGAAGCAAAACAACCAAATTTATTTTGGTCGCCATGTGCTGCTCATTGCTTGGACTTGGACTTGATGTTGGAGGACATATTTAAGATTGCAAATTTCCGCAACACACTAAAACGAGCCATGAAGATCAGTAATTTTATTTATGTTCGCCCAGGATTGTTAAATATGGTGAGGCATTTTACGAATCATAAGGAGTTAGTTAGGCCAACTAAGACTCGCTTTGCCACAACTTGTATATCATTATCAAGCATACATCATCAGAAGAATAACTTGAGGAAGATGTTTATCTGATGAATGGAAAAATAGCAAATGGAGCAAGGAACAACAAGGCAAGCGAGTTATTCAGACAATATTAATGGCATCATTCTGGAATACAATTGTATTTGCTCTTAAAGTATCGGGCCCTTTAGTTCGAGTGCTTAGATTGGTGGATGGTGAGAAGAAGCCTCCCATGGGATACATTTATGAGGTCATGAATAGAGCTAAGGAGGCCATTGCTAAATCTTTTTAATGGTAAGGAAGACAAATACAAGGATGTTTTTCAAATCATCGATCAGAGATGGGATCTTCAGTTGCACCGTCCTTTGCATGCAGCAGGATATTATCTAAATCTAGAATTCTTCTATTCAAATCCTAACATTACTGAAGATGATGAAGTTGTTAATAGGACGTATGCATGTGTCACAAGAATGGTCCCTTCCCTAGAAATACAAGACAAGATAATTCAAGAGATGACCAAGTACAAGAACACCGAAGGGATATTCGGACAACCCATGGCTTGACCAAGTACAAGAACGCCGAAGGGATATTCGGACAACCCATGGCGATTAGAAAAAGAAATAAAAGATCCAGGTAATCTTTAGTAGTACTGATTTATTATGTTTGATTGATTACTTGGTTGAAAATTATTAACATAGTTTTGTTCAATTTAATAGTAGAATGGTGGGATGATTCTGGAGTATCAACTCCAAACTTGAGGAAGTTTGCTATGAGAGTTCTAGGTCTTACTTGTAGTGCATCGAGATGTGAACGGAATTGGAGTGTTTTTGAACAGGTTAGTTCTTTGACACTTGATAAATATGTTTTTAACTTCTTGGTTAGAATTATTGTTATAGGACTTTTTTCTTTTATACTTTGCAGCTTCATAGGAAAAAAAGAAATAGACTTGCACAACGTCGTCTGAATGATTTGGTCTTCATAAAGTATAATAGAGCATTGAAACGACGACATAACATGCGGAACACAATCGACCCTATCTCTTTGAAGGATATCGATGATAGTAATGAGTGGCTGATAGGGAGAATGGATAGTGAATCTGAAGAGGATAATGATCTTGTATTTGGTGATGATTCCTTAACATGGGGTGATGTTCCGAGAGCTACTGGAGCAGAAGAACATGCCTATCATTCTAGAGCAAGTACGTCAAGGTCAAGAAGTAGGCTACGATTGGAGCTTCAAGTTCCTCTCAATCCACACGGCCCACACCCATACAATTGATTGATGATGAAGATTACACCGAGGAGGAAGATGCAGATGACTACAAGTCTAATGATGGAGAGGGGGAAAATGATGAAATTGAAGAACTATTTAGTGATGTTGAGTTTGATCTTTAGATTTTTATTTTGAACTATCTTACTTATAGTCTTATACTAGTTTAGGACCATTTTCATGTTTTTGTGGACCATGATTCTTTATGCTAAAAGTAGACTTATGATGTTTTCTAATCTTATTTGGCTTTTATATGTTTTATATGTGTGTATATATATTTTTATTTATTTTCATATATAGTGCGCCTCGCGAAAAAAAGTCCACGCTTTTTTTTGCGCCTCACGCTTAAGCTCCAGAGGTCTATTGGGCTTTAGTGCGCCTCGAGCTTTTTAAAACACTGAGCATACCCATTTCAGAAGAAATTTGAATTACAGAGAACTTTAGGAACACGCACCTGGCTGTCATTCTAGATATAGGCCAACCTAATCACCGAAGAGATTCAAATGTTTGTGCCAGAAAAATCAAGGTGTTACTCCTGCAAACATTTGGAAGCTATTTGGAGGAAGCAAAATATCCCTAAAAAGGTTAAAGAGTTGAGTTCATGTGATCCTTAGTTTGTAAGGGACAAACACAGCAAATATGCTACGAAAAAGATATCCCCATAATCCGATCTCTCCAAACTGGTGCAACCTTTGCAAGCAGATTTCAGGAGACGTAGACCACCACCAT